CAACCGGACCGAGGACTTGTCGAGGAGAGAGGAACAGGACGCCATGATCGACTGGAATGTGAGAGCGGAGATCCTCAACCTCGAGAGGAAGAACGACGAGACGGAAGAGAAAATTCGGCAGACGGAGGAGAGGATCAGAGAGCTACGGACGACAGTCGAGGAGCTCGCCGTCGCAGTGGAGGCCGAGAGGGACGAAAACACCGTCTTAGAAGAGGTCCTGGGAGATCTCGCGAGTTCCAGAGCGGGCGAGGAGCCAGGCGTGGCAGGGAGGGCTTCGGCGCTCCTGCAGGATGTGGAGGCTCTGAAACACGCCCTTGCTAATGCCCTGAGAGAGAAACAGAGCCTCCAGAACGCCAGCAGAGAAATGCGAGAGAGGAACTCCCGGCTGATGTCACTCGGCGTACAAGAAGGCAGACTTAGAGAGTACCACGGTAAAAGGGGTCAATTGAAAGAGAATATTGCCGTTCTACGGCGGCAGAAAGCGGAAATTGACGAGGAAGTAGCAAGGACGCGACAGATCAAACTAACGATCGAGAGAGAAAGAACTAAAGGCGACCAGAGGTACCGCGAATTGAGTGACAGGAAAAAGAAACTGATGCGCTGTATGACTTAACTGGAGACGGAGGAATGTTCAAGTGGCGCTGCTCATCTTGCACTGTCTGTGTTCCTCAAGTATACCCCATACTTCCTTGACGCGAACACCATAGCTAGCACTTACACGCACCATTCTCTTCTTCCAGACGTGCCCGATCTTCTCCAAACCTCAGAAGTGCCACAGACGAAATCCCCCGCCGTCACCCACCGGCCGGGGAACAAGTCTCTCTCGACCGAGCAGAAAGACGGTGATTCCAAGCGAGTTTCCTCCCGCGGCCTCGAACCCCAAGGCCACCAGGCGGAATTCGGAGAACGAGACGCTCTGTCCAAGCTGGAATTCCAGCGGACGACGAGCGACCTGCTGAAGTCACAGCTGGAACAAAGGGAGATCGAGAGCCACCACCTGAGCCTCAACCTCAGCCAGTTGGAGATGGAGGCCCAGCGGCTGAGGGAATGGAGTCACCAGCTGCTGGGAGTTCAAGCGAATGGCACAGAAGAGGAACGGAAGCTGATGCGGGCCAATTTGTTGGAAGGAGTCAAGCTCAAGAACCAGCTGGAAGAAGAACTGAGAGACGTCCAAAGGGACAGGGACGAACTCGAACAGCAGAACAGTGACCTCGCGAAACACAGCGAGGTTCTTGAGAAAAAGGGAAGTGAGATCGAGGAGGAGATCCAGCAAGAGGAACGGAGAGAAGTCGCGCTCCACAGGGAAAGGGACTTGTTGGCAGAGGCTTCAAAGAGAGCTTCATTAGACAAGGTCTTCCTCGATGAAGACATCGCTAGGTTGGAGCAGGAGAGGAGGGAGTGCAGGAAGAGGATACAGGACATGAGGAGGCAAGTCCACAAACTGGAGGCAAGATGTCGCGACAAGAACTGAAAAGAAATTACTCATTGTGGTGATTCAGTATATTCATCCCAAAGATCTTGGCAGCAAAGTATCCCGAGGATAACATACCCAGTGCAGTGAATCTAAAGGCTTTCACTCAAACCAAAGTTCTCAGTAGTAAAAGTGTCCCGAAGAGAATATATTCCGTGCAGTTCTCATCGGCTAAGGGTTCTGTGGAGTTCAAAATATATGCATTCTCACCGAAAGAACTGCCCTAATTAAGGAGAATTAAGGATTAAGAATCAAGGAGAAAAAAACAAAACAAAACAAATGATGTACACTTTTGAAGGCTAGTAGTTCTGCGATAGACTGTGCAACACGTACACAGACGAAATGTGCACATGAAAGCGTACAAGAGGTTTCATTTATGGTCAGATGAGATGGCGCTCTTTTGGTCCTTCTCTCGATTGGCTGTTTCATTTCGGCAAGTCAAGAAGAAGAATAAAAAAAAACAAAGAAATAATAATAACAATAATAAAAATATCTCTGAGGAAAAGAGAGGATGAATACATATCTTATCCTCAATTGTAGTACACCCATTTGTTATGATATGTTGTACCTCTGTGTCAAGCAATGTCAGTATGTGTCAAGGAACTTAAATTGTCCTTTTGAAGCAGGACGGCTTCCTCAGCTATGCGAAAACTGTGATTTTCAGGCATCTATACGCTTGACATTGCAAAGGCATTATTGTATATAATGAATGAATGTAAATTAATGAATAAACTTGTATTTAAAACCATGTAAAAAAAAACACGTGAAAGGGAATAATAGTATTTTTTTTTAATGAAATTGAATTCACATCGGTACACAACCATACCTCTTTATTCATATTTTTTTTTACTATACCCACATACTGCCAGTATAACTAACAACAATAAGGCCACTTGAATCCCTGAGACCAACGCTGAAAAGTCTCATGATTAGCAAGATTTAAAGAAAAATATGAATATACTTCGTCTGCTTTCCCCTTTCTCGCTCTCTCTTTCCACACACACGAATATATATATATATATATATATC